TCTGAAGCGATGCATGTTGGGGAACACTACCCAAAGTCCCTAAGTGGCGCCAGGGCTGGGAATTTGAGAGGCCGGCCTTGAGCCGAAGTTCCCTTTGTTGGGTAAAGAACGCTGCAGGTCAGTTGGTGGTTTGGATTAGGGATTGTGATTCCTTGTTCTTGAGGGTAAATGCAAAGCCTCACAAAACCGTTTAACCTTCAAACCACCAATCCAAACTACGTATGCTTGTTAGTTCGAATCCAAGGTGCCTTGTCAGCACCTTTCTGCCGGTAAGGGATTCTTTGCCACGGTCGCAGAAGGCATTCGGGAACTCGCGCAAAAAGAAGATTCTAGCCGTTGCTCTTTGGTCCATGGGGACATTTGTCATGGACGGCGTCCAGTCACTTGGCTTGACTTGGAGACTTAGAGCGCGGTAGTCTGATGGTGGATTCGCTTGTTTGTGGAAGTGCTCACAATGGGATGACAGATTGCTGAGCCAAGAGCTATACTGAAGTAGAAAGCATCCGCGGAAGCCCGAAGAAGCTTGCGCCTTGCTCTGGGCAGGCAATCTGGTTAGGTCGTTCATGGTGCAAACAATGCTGTGAAAGATTGCCCTTGTCAAAACAGATTGTTGTGGACCTGTCTTCGCTCAATTGCAGGTGCCATAGCTGGGCTGTTTGTTAAATCTGTGAAATGTTGAGGCAAGCCCTTAAGAGTACTGCCTTTGCACACCTGCATATCATGCTTCTCGTCAAACTGGTGAGTGTCTCACACAGGCTTACGGGAGGGAATACCTCTTGGCAATGGTTCGACGGTTCCTGAAGATTCTTGTTTGATGCGACCAAGCATGTTTCTTGGTAAGATGGTGCCACGGTTGGGTGAGTAGATGGCAATATCTCCCCATTTGGGTTTAGTCATCCGCTTTCTTGACCACATATCGCCAACATGCCAGCTACTTAGCTGGCCAAGGAGCTCATCGGGAGGCTCCCTTGACTTCCACGCAAGCTCATAGAGGTTCCGTTGCCCTTTTCGGGATCATCTTGTCATAGTGTGCCTCGAAACGGCACCAAGGCCAGCACTCTCATGGGGAAACCAGGAGTTTGTATGGCCAGTTCTGTGTCAGGCCATCAGGAAGGGCTCCTAGTTAGAGACATTGGCCAAATTTGTGGACTTCTTGTAGTCCGGAGGCTTGGGATTCACCGAAACGCGTCAGGATGCAAGAGCACTTGGACCACTGCGTGCCTCGGAGTTTTTTCATCGCGTGCGACGGAGCTCCTGGCGCTCCCATGGTTGTTTTCCCGGCTGACAGCTTTGGGGTGAGCGAGTCCGGGCTCTTGGGGGTTCTAGGTCTTGGGGCTGTCCATTTCAGCAGGTCGGAAGTTGTGCCATGGAAGGACTCGCCGCGATGGGCGCGCGACTTGAACTCCTCCTCCACGAAGAGCGAGTGACCTCGGGGCCCCTTGAAACCGGAAGCCATGAATTGCAAGCCGTGGAGACATGAGACACCATCGGGCGCATTGAGAACCTCGGATGTTGGGCCATTGCAAGGGAAAGGCCTGTTTTGCAGCTTGGGCGAGTCAGCAAGAGATCAAGATTTGGGTGCGGGTCAAAAAGACGTACCCAAAATGGAACCCTGATGAATGGAAACACGGACTAAACCCGCGGCCTGGTCGTTCAAAGGTTTGACGCATACCTGTTTATTTGGAGCATTGCGGGAGTGGAGTTGCCTCGTGGGAGATGGGGTCACAGCCTAGGCTGACTTCTACAAGAGGCACGTGGAGAGACAGATCAAAGATATCTCGGCTTCTTGTCCGCAGATTCTGCGCCAATTCTGTCCAAGGAGACGTGGTTTGCCATTGCTGCTCCCATGTTTTTTTTGACCAGGGAACCCAAAAGCAGATTACTGCCATTTTGGGAGATTCCTCATATTGGATAGGTATGGGGTTCCATGTTCTATGCACTCAACCCTCAGGAGACTCGAAAGGGTAGCCAACTGCTCCTCGAAAAAATCCTGCCCTCGCACGTGGTGCAGCTCGTCAATGCAGCTCGGCATGCGACGGCTATCGAGGGCTGGGCTGTTTCAAGTCTCGTTTGACCTTCACTCTGCACTTGCTGGCTCCCAGCCATCCGGTTCCTTAGCTTTTTAGCCTTTTAGTGTTCAGTGGGGGTTTCCATTTACCCCACTCAAAGTCAAACGATAAGCAGGGGATCTGAGCGCAGTCCAGTGCAGATTGACATGACGCCCAAAAAACATCATGCTTGGAGGAACCTCCGCGTGGCGAGAATTTCCCATTTTGGATTCCATGTCGAACATGCAGCGGAGTGGCCCTTGACATTTTTGCCACATTCTCCCAACGACTGGCACCAAGTCACTATGTTGTGCATGGGGCGGGGCAAAGCCACCCAGATTTGACAGCTGTTCACAGCAAAACTGATGGAGGTGCGTCAAAATTACCCGGTGTTCCGTTTCTCGTGGTTCTCCTTATGAACTAGCTGGTTGTGGTCTTTTCATGATGCCTCACAATGGGACCCCTAAACCGGTTGGCTTCCTCTTTTGGTTCCTTAAGCCAACATCCAAACAGGGGCTTTGAGACAGACCCATATACGCTTATTCGGAAGTTGCCAAATGCCTTCCCTCTTTGCCACCCACACCTCGTTTTCGCTATCAGCGGCTGAGCCACTATGAGCGCATGCAACCCGCACGAGCCGATCCGAGAAACCTTGGGACACACGTTACACGTCTGTGGTGCATACGGAAAGCAATACACAGAGCTTTGATAAAATGTGGATGGCCGAACTCCAGCACCACTTGGAAGCCGTGGTTGAACACATGATTTCTTGGCATGTACAAGGGAATCATATGATAAACCAGGGTTTCTTAGGTGGTGAGAAACGGATTTCGCAACCATCCGCATGCTTGGCTTTGTGCCCCTCGCAGAGCTTCCCTGAGGATGGCGTCTCACCCATCGCGGAGGACTATACGGATGTGTCCATTGTCTTCACCGCTACCCGGATGAATCCAGGCTTCGCCTAGCTTGGCATACGCAGGTTTCTATGGTCACGTGACACAAGGCGGATCATTCCTGCAGCCCAAGTCTGATTGGGTCAAGTTGAAGAGAAAGGGCCGGAGGGCTCCCCGTACTTCGGAATGTGGGGGTGTCCCCAATCAAAGCAGAACACTGGTCATACTGTGCATGGACCGAATATGTAGGATTCTGTCCATCCACAGTAAGAACATCACAACACTCTGGTGTACCAGGCCTGCTATGACCGACCTTCAGCCGACAAGGGGGCAGTATACTCCCGGCAACCATCAGGTTCGTTGCTGCATGCTTGTCGGTGTCGCCGCTGTGTTTGAAGCTTGGGAACGCATATTTGACATCGGAAAAATCGCCTGTCCAAACACTGGCCTTGGTGTGTGTAAAACTAGGGACCCCTGTTTGGTTCGCGCGGACAGCGACCTTGACTTAACCATTTTGAGATGTAAAGTCCCAGACAACAGCGGATAGTTGTTGTTGGCTTTGCACAAGTGCTTCTGCCTTCTTGCCCACACGAGCCTGAGTCATGGGAAACGTCGACTCCATATTTTTGCAGACTGTGAGTTGATTGGCTGTTCGTTGATGTGCTGCGTTGGTTGCTCGGGCTTGTTTTCATTTCTTGACCCAACCGGTTCTGTGAAAATGGTTCTCCAAGGGCCAGCTCTTTCTTAGCGGTCTGTGGTCATCCCAAGTCTCGTTCGTGGGAGGGCACCATTTGCCTCCCTTCTCGCCAGAAAGGGAGGCCCGGAAAGTGTGGACCGCGAGCCATTCTTTGTCCTTTGGCTGAGGACATGCGCGGCTTCACCAGTTTTTGCTCCCGCACCTCTTCCAGCAAAGGGAGATGGTTGGGCGTGTCTTTACCCGTTTCGGGTTCGGTTTGTCTTAAAGGGAAGCCACCCCCAATGCTTGCAGTTATCACTATGGCACTTAGATGCCAACCCCCCTCCCCCTTGATGCAAGCAACCTCATTCGATTTTTCGACAATCGCAGCACCTTATTCAGATTTCTTTGGGTCCGATGTCAACAATTTGATCCATATATCCCGCGACAGACAAGGGGTTTCAGGGATCAGGCACGCCAGCGAGATTTAGCGAGAGTGTCCATGCCTGTTGGATCCAAAAGCCTTGGTAAGGGGGTTGATTGATTTTCTGACAAAGACGCAAGCTTCCTCCTGCTTTGTCACCCAGCACATTGCATGCATGATTCTAGAAATACGGGGCTTCAGTTTTCCCGTGGAAATGTGTGGATATGTTCAGACCAGGTCCCGACCGAATTCAGGGTCGTAGCCCGTGAAGGTCCTTGTTCTTTTTGGGACATTCCAGATTTGCAATGTCTAGGGCAGAGAAAGCAAGGTTTGGATGGGTCTAAGGGCGCGAACATGACACCACGTGTAAAGGTAGAGCCTCTTCTGGCAGAAGGTTTTTTAGGGAAATCCGCTTTTTCAACTGATGAATGATGTGCGCAGATTGCCACCGATTCAAGCGGTCCACTTCGTTTGGGACATGGTTTACAGGGAGCCAACATGTTTTTTTGTACGCCCTTCCACAGGCCCCAAAGGTGCGTGTGTTGTGAGGGTAGCCTTTCTTATGGTTTTCAAGGAGAACCAACAGGAAAGCCACAATGTTGGGGTTTCTGAAACCAGGCGCGCCCATGTTGTTGCCTCTTTGACGGTTTCCCTTTGTCGATGTGTCAAGGTTTGGAGGCTTGCGATAGCCAGCAAAACCCGGCAGACACCCGCGCGAAGTTCCTGATGTCTGACCAAGAATCGCCGGTGCAACGAGAGTCCGTGTGTGTCCAGTTTGAGGTCGTGAAGGATTTGCTTGCCCTCTTGATTTGCATGGTTTCTGGTTGACTTTCTGATACTCGGTACGAGGCTGACTAAGGACTGGATTACTGCTCAGACTAAGATGGAGCTCAAAAAAGGGGTTCCCCCAAACAAACATGCTCCCAGTTGCAGACTCCTTAATTCTTTCTCAAAGGTCCATGTCAATCGGCTGGGCAGTGCTCTGGGGTCTCTAAGATTCATTTAAATTTCCTATAGAGTCTACCTATGAAGCTGATCTTCGCGAATTTCTTTTGTACCCCGGAGAGTTAGCCTCCAGCCGTGGCTGGTGCTTGCAACAAGCAATGGAGCACGGGATGCGTATAACGTGATCAGCTGCATGCCAGCGTTGTGCAGCTTGAGCAATTTGATGCAACCAGCAGGCTGGGGTACCTGAAGTTCCTTCTATGTTCCGAGCCAAGTCTGGTGACTTTTATTCGCTTGCTAATCGGATTTGGATTCCAACCTCTGGTTTGTAGCCGCTAACTTGATGGGACCCCCCCAACTGCCAAACTCCAAACAACCAATCGGGTTTGGTGTTTTGTTGGAAGGTGTTCATTTCAGCATGGCTCCTTAAGAGATACATTTTGCCCGTTTGAAACATGGCTTTTTCCGCCGAAATAAAGGGAAACCACCATTTACAAGGCAATGTTCAGGTGTATAATGTAAGGATCCCCGTTCAGGGTGGTCTAAGCGGGAAACCAAAGGGAAACCACCATTTGGGGGATCCAAAGCGAAGGCATCACGCCAGCAGAGCTAGTGGAACTGCTGAACACGCTCTACTCGGCCTTTGATGAGGTGATCCTTGATTGGGGCCTTCACAAAGTTGAGCCTTGGAAGGGGGAAGAACTCATTAAAAGAAACGGCCTCTCGGGTTGATGGGCGTTTTGGATGGCCACCAAAATGGCCACCCCAACTTTTTGGGGGAATTCCTCGATTTCGAGACAAAGCCAACTGCATCTCTGATGCTTGGGTGTTGCTTTAGCTTTGGACTGGGGGAGCCGCGAGACAGACGGGCCGGGACGGAGAGAAGGAAACGGAAAGACACGCCCAGACTAAGGACACATGCCTAAAGGGGACCGCAGAAGGGTAGTTCCTAAAAGTCCGTTCCGTGAGTCGACAAGCTGGCATGCAGCATAAATTTGGCTTTATGACTTGTTCTACGTAAGGAATGTGAAATCCGTACCCTGGTAGCAACCATTATTGGGTTCTTGTTTGGTTTGAAGGTTTATGCTAAAGTTCCCTACTGGGAATGTGTTTAATACAACTACCGACTGCACGCTGAACCAGGCGGATATGGGCTTGTTTTTTTGAGGCTCGGCAGAGACACCGAAGGAAATTACCTATTTGGGGGGGGTCACATGATCCCCCAATTTGTCGCCAATGCAAAGGCCATGGAAATCATAGGGCACCTCCGGCTGGACGCACCGCTGAGGAAGTGATCGGGGACGCCTACTTCATTTCATCTGGCTGCCCAGTGACTGAGGAGGGTTGCGAGCAGTGCGAATGGCACTGCGGCAACTTCATGGCAAATGGTTTGGCTGGGCAGTTCGCGCGTGCAAAGGTTTAATGCGTGCAAGGCTATCCCAAGTTTGGTTGATTCCCCAGATAGCTGAAATCTTCAGGGGTTCTAACTTCTATTAATCTAATAAAGAAGGGAAAGTGATTTGCGAGATTGACGGCTGGGTGCTAGGGGGCATGCAGTTTGGGGTTTTGGTGTAGGTGCTGTTTAGGGTGCTGTTTGAGCTGCTGGTGATGGTGCGGGCGCAGTTTATTTGGAAAATGGCAGGGTGCTAGAGCATGCAGTTTGGGTGCTGGTGCAGGTGCTGTTTTGGGGTGTGCAGGTGACGGTGCGGGCACACTTTTGCAAGATCGACGGTAGGGTGCTAGCGGGCATGCAGTCTGGGGTGCTGGCGCAGGTGGTGTTTTGAGATGAGGTGCTGGTGACGGTGCGAGTACATATTTGCGAGATTGACGGCTGGGTGGTTTGGGAGTGCCGTTTGGGGGTGCTTTTCGGGGTGATGGTGCGGATGGTGTTGAGGGGCTGGTGACGAGCGTGGCGATTGACGGCTGGTGCAGGTGCTGTTTTTGGGGGCCTGGTGACAGCCAGGGGTGTTGTTGCGAGATTGGCGGCAGGGTGCTAGGGGGCATGCAATTTGGGGATTCTTGTGCAGGTGCTACAATATTTTTGGGATGCTGTTTGGTGTTGGTTGAGGTGCTCTTCGGGCAGTGTTGTTAGAGGTGCTGGCGTACTATCGTTGGCACACGTTTCGCTATCTGGGGTCTAAAAAAGATGCTGGTGTATTCTTTTTTGTGGAGGCGTGGTGCAAACTGGGATGCAAACTGTGGCAAGAACAGTCAATCGGAATCTCCGACAGCTATTGGGACAGCGAAGAACTGCCCACGTGGTGAGAGTTCGGCTATGGGTACCGTCAAGCAATTTCAATAGAATGCTTTCAGCCACTGTGAGTTAGACAACCGCCCGTTGACACCCTCGGAGCAGCAGATTGTCGGCGTGGCCTTTTGCAGGATGAGAAGGCAGCGCCTGACCAGTTCGCCATGCGCGCGGTGGAGGCACAAGGGATCGCCTTAAGCAGGATTACCAGCATAACTGCCATTGGTTTTCCTCTTTGTTTAAGGGTGGTTTTCCCGTGATGAACTTAGCCAGGCACAACAACTCGCATTTTTGCAAAACACGCCTCACTAAACACGTTTTTGCACCAAACACGATGCTGCATCTGCTGGGCATTAGCGACCTTACGGGGGTTCCCTATTTCAGCGTGAATTCGTATGGTGACTGACTGGTTTCAGGTTTGAAGCAAACCCTCTTGGGATTGCCGGTGGCCAAGGAACGTTTTTACGCTGACCTCGCCGGTGATGTTTTTCTCCGAATTTTGGAGGGTGTATCTGCGTTTGCATAGTCGAGAATGAAAAGTAGCCATGTTGAGGGTCCCAACTCGATCCGGTTCCAGGGATGACTTGCGCGGTTTTTATAGAGCACCGGGACGTGCTGATCCGTTGTCTGACTACCCCTCTCCCAGTTCTTGTTGAGGAGGCGGTCCCCTTCAGTGAGGGCCGGGTTCTTCCAAAAAGGCTGCGACTGATTGACAACACTGGGTGATTGCGTTTCAATTTCAAAATTGCTGCAATGGTATAATAGTAAAGAGGAGAACACTATATGTGTACGTATATTTTGCGGAACCTAGGCGAAAAAAGGCCCTATGCTCATCAATGACCTGGATGCCTCGGGTTTTTCTATGTCCGGATGGTTCGAGGATGTGTACCTCTACTGGTGGGAGCGCACTTGTGGGAGAGATGGAGGAGCTCTCAGTAAGGGTAAGGGGCGAGTCAGGAAACAGAGTCAAGAAACGGGTTGGACGAAGTCAGGAAACGGGTGGGTCCAAGTCAGGAAGCAGGTTGGGTCGTGTCAATAAATATGTAGATGCGGTGTTGTGAGTCAGGAAACGGCCACGGAAACGACAGGAACAACGGTCCGGGCGTTGTGAAAGGTTTGGAGTCAAGAAATGGCCCCGGAAACGACAGGAACAGCGTGCCGGGGCGCTCTCAAAAGTTTGGAGTCAAGGGAATAAGGTTTCGTGAGCCAGGAATTGACCGTGAGTCAAGAAACGACGCGGAAACGACAGGAACAGGGCCGTTGTTCGGCTTCGTGGTTCTCGTTTTTGTAATCGCGCGATGTAAAAGCTTCTTTGAACGATTGCTTTTCTAATGGCGGGGGCTGCGACCCCCCAACCCCCCGCTTCTTCATAGGGCAACACCCCCCCCCCGCCCTCGCTTCCTTGTAAACGCTGAGAAACTAAACCTAAACCCTAAGCCCTAAAAACCTAAACCTAACCTTAAGAACCCTAAACCTAAACCCTGACAACCCTAAACCTGAGCCCTAAAAACTTTAAACCTAAACCTTACAAACCCTAAACCTAAACCCTACAAACGCAAATCCTAAACCTAAACCTAAACCCTAAAACCCTAAACCCTAAAGCGCAAGCTTTTCCTTGGCCTTGGCCACGACGACATCAAGGCACAATGCACAAAGCCAACGGCAAAGAACAAAGCGTGCAGTGGCTTCTGCATCACGCATGTCTCTTCACGCCTCCCCTCTCCCCTGATTCGAACAGCTTTACACGCCAGGTTGTTCCTTGATCCGAGCCATGGCGATGCCAAGGAACGATGCACGAAGCACGCGTCAGAGCGCAAAGCACGCGGTGCCAGACTTGCATCCCAGCATCACCGCCAATTCAAAAGCGCTGACTACATCATGTCTGAATCGCGTTTCCTGACTCACGTTTCCGCGTTTCCTGACACGTTTGCTGTTCTATATATTTATCACTCTTATTCTTGACTTGCCTCCAGTTATTTCTTGACTCGCCCCTGTCCATTTCTTGACTCATGTTTCCTGACACAGTCATTTATTTCCTGGCCCGGTCTAGTCTCCTCTCAGTACCCCAACAAGTCGACCATTTTGTGGTTAGCCCAGCAGCATAACCACTTGTCACTTGGGAGGGTCGGGTTAGCTTCTGTTGGAGACTTGTAGTTATACAAGTCCCAATATGTCCCACAAGGTGCAGCTCGTACAGTTTCAAAGTCACACCTCGACGCTTGATATCAAGGAAGTCGCGAGGGGATGCATCTGCTCCGCATTTTTCCAGCCCTGTGCACCCACTTAGTTTTCCCGATTCGGAGTTGAAGGCCCACCTCAACAAGCAAAATACACAGACACATCATATATGTATGTATATATATATATATATATATACCTGGACCCTCAAACTACCCATAAAAATGGGATATCACCCCTTTTGGGGGTCAAACCCATTTTTAAGGGACTTTTGAGGGTTCAGGTATACGCACACGCACACATATTCCCGGCCACGGCCGCCAGGTGGGCCTTGCACTGCAGCGAGTGGTGCCTACCGTGTGCGACGACAACTCGGTGCAGATGCGAAGCTCAGAACGCATTCAGTCCATCCGCTTGTCCAGTGCATGTGTCCCGCAGTTTGAGGTAGGCCCTATACAATTTCAACCATAGTGTTGCTGGAAGGATGATCTTTACACACATATCTACATAAATATATATATATATATACATATACATATATATATATTTTCATATATATATATATGTACATATATATATATGTATATATATACATGTATGACGTAGTGTGATGCAGGGGTTCCCTTCGAATCGCACCAACACAACCACAAGAGTGTTTGTGTTTTCGTCCGCATGTGCGAAAGCAAGTCCGCAAGTCGACGCCTGAACCCTTTTCGGGGCTGAACCTAGGATGTGGCATCCACAGCGGCAACGTCATCGCCGGGGTGGTGGGTAAGAAAGGACTGATCTCAGCGCAGCCTCAACTGATCGCCACACATGATGTCCCGGGTTCGATATTCTTAGTTCAAAACAGACTGTATATGGATGTTTTTGTTTTCTCATTGGCGTTTTTAGGACCCGTTTCTGGGGCAGCTCGTTTGGAGCTTGGAAGGGAATTCCCTAAAGTCTCCAAGCTCAGATTCCGGATTTAGCCAGCCGCCTTTGGGCCGGAGGACCTCGGTACCACCTCTTCGGGCCGAGCGTGGAGTTTGCCAACTTGATGGAGAGTACTGGGATCCCCACAAGGGTGCAGATTAGCCGGGACCCATAGCGAGGCATATAGCTGTGCAGCCGTGTGTCCATGTTCGGATGCAGGCAGGCCCCAAACGCATCTGTGGTTTGTTCAACCCTAAGTCGACTTGACAGAGATCAGCCAACAAAGACATGTGAAATGGTCAGGAGCTGCCCATGTGGAAGTTTAAGAACGGTTTGGCACTTGCATCAGATGAACTCCTCAAGAGAATGCCTTAAACATTCAGTTCCCTGGTCCCGTCCCGGCCGTTTGGTGTTTAGAAAGGCTTAACTTTGGTGCATTTTGCTTGGATGTTAGGACTTTAACTTTTTGCCAACTACTGGGTTTTCCATGAAACCAAAGTTAAACTTGCAGCAGGGGAGCAGAAACCGACTGAGAAAGGGTTAAGTTAGGTGAGTGCCTTAGAGGGGGGCGCTGGCTGAGGCAGCGCCACAAAGGCGTGGCTGGACTGTGGAGGACACGACTACGACTTCGAGGAACGGCTCGCCCCTTGCGCGGCAGTTACCAGCGCTCACTCCACGGTTGGGTTCCAGGTTTTTTGACGTTTTGCCAGAAAGGCAGCAAAGGAAAAGGACTTTGTCTAGGTCCCCCAGTTGTGCCCTTTTTACCTTTTTTTGGGGAGCAGAGTTCCCCTACTCAAATCGACCACAGAAAAAAAAGGTACCCTTATTCTAATCTTTCTACTGGAGGAACTAGGAAAAGGACATTGTGGGGCCAGTCAACTCGAGCGAGCCCTTAAGAAATGGGGTGATGGAGCCCTGAAGTTTGGGTGTGTGAAGTCGGTCCTCAAAGAGGACATAACCGGATAGTGTGCCTAGGTTCTAGGGATCATGGGCAAAGGGCCTTGATTGCTGAAGGAAGAGAGACCTGTGCCAAGACTAAGTCATGCCCATGGAGCTGCTATTCCATCTCATTCCGGTTCGCAGCCTTGACCTGGCAGGGAGGTGGCGGAAAGACCATGGGGACTTCTCAAGTATAACTATATATTTATACATGTATATGTCCTGGTCTTACCATTCCCTTGAAGCAAGGAACGAGTCCAAGGGCTCTCCAACAATGTAAGAAAGCTCCATCGTTTGGTCTAATACTTTATGTCTTGCAAAGTTCTCCGCAAGTACTCGCCCCCTACTAACTCGTGAGGACTATCCTCCCCATCGACCTAGAATGGCAGGAAGACCCTGCCCTTTTTGATGGGACACCACTCCTGGCAGCTTCCACGCAGCTGGCGAAGAAAAGACAGGCAACCCTCAGCTTGAACTCGAGGAGTTCGAGGAATTGCCCATTGCTGATTTCGAGCACTTCCCAAGAGGTTCACCTCACTGGGGTGGGATGTTTGCGGGCACAGAGCTACCCAGCACTGCCCTGAAGGCGGAACCTCCCTTTCAACTCCATGATGGAGCTTTCTTACATTGTTGGAGAGCCCTTGGACTCTTTCCTTGCTTCAAGGGAATGGTAAGACCAGGACATATACATATAGATATATAGTTATATACATGTATGTTATATCATATTATACTATATTATGTTGTATTATATTGTATTACATTATATAATATGTGACTTTCAAGCAGGCGGGTTCGCCGGCCGGTGCTTGATTGACAAGCATTGTTGGCTCCCCCATGGGAAACAATCATACGAAGACACAGGTGTCCTTGGAACTGAGGCTCGGAGGATGCTTGTACTGATACCACTGAAACCGGCCCAGGTTGAGATCAGTGGCGAAGAGCACAAGACTTTCCTGGTGAACAGGAGCAAGGCGAGCACGCCGGGGTAGAAGCCATGATTGTGCAGCTGGATACCTGGCTATCGGGATGATATACAAAAGTAATTATGCTTTATATGCGCTATACAATACACAAGTATGTGAAGACGTGTATGTATGTATACATATATATATATATATATAGGTACATTTGTATGCATGTATATATATATATGTTCTACTATGTAATATTCTACCTCGTCCCAACAGTCACATGTATTGTTGCACAATGACCCTGCCATTGCTCATGAGAACTTTGGGCATGTTATTGTTGTTTAGCTGCTTGTTTGTTTTTGCACCGTGCTATTCAATCCCAACTTAAAACATATGCAAAGTACACATTTCGGTTTCCAGCAAGCCAGTAGTACTCAAAGTAGGCTGTGGCAGCTCCAGCTTGAAACCTGTGACTTTTCAGCACATGTCTGGTATGCGAGCTGCACATTGCCTGCTTAGGCTCGACCACTTGAACTGCTTGTAGTGTAGTGGGTCTAGTATGGCAGCTCAAGCTCCAACATCGGCATTTTTTAGTTAGTTGACTCTGGAAGTTGCCTTGCTGCTCGCCACTTCCCACTCTGACTGAGCATGTCCTGGCTTCACTTCGATGGCTGCCAGGCGTTGAAACAATCCCCGTGCCAGGCCTTGAAGGCGGCAGAAGCTATGAACCTGCTTATTCCACGTTCAAATGAGACAAAGCAATGCACGCTTGAAGTTTGAGGAGCCCATACAAATCATGATTCGCGTACAGAACCACAAGTTTTCCGCGCGACCGATGACAAAAGAACCTCTTCATTGCTTGCAGGCTCAATTTGTAGGGACGCATTTGACCTGGTGCTCGCGTTTCGACTCCGCCAGTCGCGGGCAGCTCGGCAGATTCGCACCGCCCTGGCGATGCACCGCCATGATCAGGCCCGTTGGGTCCTTTGGTTACCCGCTTCAGGGTATATCTGGAAAAACCTGCAGGGTGTTTGAGACTAGGGGCGCTTTTTTGGAGAGGTTCTCAAAACAACTTTTCGGGTTGGTTTCCCTGTACACCCGCATATAGGAAGTTTCGAGTATGCGTTCATGGATCCGCCTTGGGGCTGTCAGGGACCCGTCAAACGCTTTCCGATCACAGGACAATGTGTGTAGCATCCGAAAAGAACCTATTTGTTAGCCATTCACTGAACAAGCCGGCTTCCTTCAATCCGACTTGCCTGCCGATTTTCTTGGTCGAACAAGGCAGTTATTTGGTCCCGACGACTTCCAGCCACCAACTTGGCTGACTGTCGGTCCTGCGTTGGACCATTTTCCGCCGAAAGGCTTCCCACTAAATGGGCAAAGTTACCCATGGTTATTTGGGGGTCAGGAATACTTATAGGTTTCCTGTTGGAAGTATGCTCAGCTTCCAAACTCAGCGGAAACAGGACCGCCCTGGAGGTCATGGAAGGTTCATGAACTTTTTAAGGCGAAGTTTGGAAAATCATGAGGACGAAGCATGGTCATGTGTGTTTCTTTGTTTGCATGTCTGTATCTCGTATTGTTTCTGGGTCCAGGCCCCAGACTCGGTTGCTTGGGAATGAGCGCTTCCAGTATGTTGCGGTCTGTTGGAATCGTCGGCTGCTTATTCTCGCGGTGGCCTTTGCATTCTGACAATTTGGTATTATACATGGCTCAGCACAGTTCGTGGGAAGTCCTAAGATACAGCTACCATGCGTCACTTTCAAGGGCCTCATCGAGGGTGAATATCGAGGTGATGAGGAGCAAGTTCCATCCATGCTGCTCCGCATGTTTTTGTTTTCCCTCATTCCACGACGGTGGGGGCAAGGATCCGTGCTCGAGCAGGAGTTGCCAGTGGTGATTGTCCCTTGGTCTGCTTCGTTTTGCTCCGGTTCGAGACCCCACTGTTCATTGCACTGCATGATCAAGAGCCTTCTGATGCATGTGATCCTAAGCACACCCGCAAACGGCGGGTAGTTCCAAACATGTTCCCCAACCTTTGCAAAATCTCGGCGAGGGACCCCCAGAAGGATGTTCCCACCGAACCGGGGGCCGAAAAAACCGCACGGGTTTCCGAACGAGTTGTACGGCCCAGTCTGGGAGATGCCTCACACATTCTGTTGGCAATGATTGAAAAGCGGGTCGCGAAATTTCTCCGAATTCGATGGTGCATCAACTCCAATCTTGTTGCTACATTGCCCTGACCAGATGTGGCTGCAGGTCCCCTTTGGAGTTGGTTTGAAGACGTCTCCATTTTTATTTGAAGGGTCTTGGGATTGTTGGGATCCGGCTTTTCCGTTCAGGCGACGGTGACTGGGGACAAGCACCCCAGACCGGCGAAGTCGGGGTCCATGCTTTGAGCTTCCGACGGACAGTCCACAGGTTATTTGGCGCACGGCTTCTCATGCAGAGTTCAAAAGCCGAGGATGTGCCCGTACGCCCCATTTTGCAATATCCGGCTCGCATCTGGCCTGTCAGGCTAAGCCTGTGAGGTCTTGCTACGCGCAGGGCTGCGGCTGGCCGAGTGCAACAACAGCTAGCGTGACTTAAATGGTATTGTCTCTGAATAGGAATCGGAACCCTCAACATAATTGCTTTTCTGGTGGATTCCATTTAACCAACCCCAAAAAGGGTACCCTCCAAAAGACACGCCCAAATGCGGAAGCAATCTGCAGAGTTTGCCCTCTGCCGTCAAGGAGAAGTGACGAGGTGAGACAAGGTAAAGAGTAAGCAAGCAAGCAAGCAAGCAAGCAAGCAAGCAAGCAAGCAAGCAAGCAAGCAAGCAAGCAAGCAAGCAAGCAAGCAAGCAAGCAAGCAAGCAAGCAAGCAAGCAAGCAAGCAAGCAAGCAAGCAAGCAAGCAAGCAAGCAAGCAAGCAAGCAAGCAAGCAAGCAATCGGAGCAAGCAAACAAACAATCAAGCAATCCAGCAATCCAGCAAACGAGCAAACGAGCAAACACAAACAAACAAACAACGCAACGAACAAACAATTAAACACATACAGTAAACAACCTTGAAAAAAACACTTACAATCAGCACAACACACATACCAAGCTAGACTGCAACAAGGAGGCAAGCCAACAATCAAACAGATAGAGCAAGCAAACAGAACAAGCAAACCAACAAGCAAACAGACATACAGACAGGCGGACACACAGAACAAACAGCCACAAGAAGCTAAATCAACTAGGCTAAGCCAATCTAAACTGAACAACCAAGTAAGCAGCCAACAAAAAGACAAACCACACATACAAACAAAGAAAACAAACGAAATGAGAAACAGACACACATACAGACAACCAACCAACCAACCAACCGGCCAACCAACAAACAAACAAACGAACAAGCATACACAAATAAGCAAACAAGCAAAAACACAAACATCCAAGCAAACAAACAAACATTCACAAGCAAACAACCAACCACACTACAAGCGGATTATTTCACAGACACCACCGCCGCCAACAACGACATCGACAACATCAACAGCATGCACACCGCCAGCACCACTGGCACCATCACCACCAACAACAACCAACAGCCAACAACCAACAACCAACAACAAACAACAAACAACCACCAGCACACAACACACAACACACAAAACACGACACACAACAATCAACAAACAACAAACACAAACAAACAACACAACAAACAACAAACATCAATCAACAACCAACACACAACAAACAAAAAACACAACACAACAAACAACAAACATCAATCAACAACCAACAAAAACAAACAACAACACACAAACTCAGCAACAACAACACCAACACTGACCCCAACCGCAGCCCCAACCACAACGACAACAACAACAAACAACAAGCAACACACAAAACAACAATCAACAACAACAAACAACAAAACATAAACAAACACAACAAACAACAACCACACGCGAACACCACCACCAACAACAACAACAACAACAACAACAACAACAACAACAACAACAACCACAACAACAACAACAACAACCACAACCACAACCACAACAATAACAACGACAACGACAACGACAACGACAACAACACCGACAACAACACCGACAACAACACCGACAAAAACAACAACAACAACAACAACAACAACAACAACAACAACAACAACAACAACAACACAACACAACACAACGACAACGACAACGACAACGACAACGACAACACAACAAACACACACAACAACAAACACACAACAACAACAACAACAACAACAACAACAACAACAACAACAACAACAACAACAACAACAACAACAACAACAACAACAACAACAACAACAACAACAACAACAACAACAACAACAACAACAACAACAACAACAACAACAACAACAACAACAACAACAACAACAACAACAACAACAACAACAACAACAACAACAACAACAACAACAACAACAACAACAACAACAACAACAACAACAACAACAACAACAACAACAACAACAACAACAACAACAACAACAACAACAACAACAACAACAACAACAACAAACAACAACAACAACAACACAAACCAACCAACCAACCACAACCACAACCACAACCACAACCACAACCACAACCACAACCACAACCACAACCACAACCACAACCACAACCACAACCACAACCACAACGACGACAACGACAACGACAGCGACAGCGACAGCGACAGCGACGACGACGACGACGGCGACGGCGACGACGACGACGACCACGACGACCACGAGGACCACGACGACGACGACCACCACCACCACCACCACAACAACAACAGCAACACCAACAACAACAGCAGCAACAGCAACAGCAACAGCAACAGCAACAGCAACAGCAACATCAACAGCAACAGCAACAGCAACAGCAACAGCAACAGCAGCAGCAGCAGAAGCAGCAGCAGCAGCAGCAGCAGAAGCAAAAGCAACAACAACAGCAACAGCAACAGCAATAGCAGCAGCAGCAGCAGCAACAGCAAAAGCAAAAGCAAAAACAACGGCAAAAGCAGCAGGAGCTGGAGCTGGAGCAGGAGCAACAACAAAGATATCAGCAACAGCAGCATTAGAAATAAGTGTACCAAGCAAGCAAGCAAACAATACGGCACACACGTGCACACACACACACACACACACACACGCACGCACGCACGCACGCACGCACGCAGGCACTCAAGCACGAAGGCACGCACACGCACACGCACAAGCAGGCAAGCACTCGAGTAAGCAAGCAAGCCAGCAAACCAATGACGCGCACACACAAACCATCACAGGTCGGACATGCAGGTAAGTACACATACGTACTTTGCGGATACGTCGAAACTCTACACTGAAGAAACACATCCAATGCATCAATGCGAAACTAGAAGCTTGCGCAGCCACACGAGCACAGCACCGCCCATACAGGCCATCGCACACAAACATGCCAAGACGAGCATAGTTCAACACATGGTAGTCCGCTTGTCAGCGCATGCCAGTAAACTCTGCCTTTACTTCCGCTCTCCTTGGTTTCTAGAATTTGGTTCTTTCCCGAGATTTCGGGGAGGCAGAATGGATGCCGCCGCGCTGCTCGTTGTGTGCAGTTAGCCAAGCCAACGGAAGTTGCTCTTGTTCTGATTTTGAATGGGTGCGCACCCACCGGTGCGAGCCGCCTAGCACTCTGGGTGAATGAACAACGGAAGGCTGAGCGATTCATGAAGATTCAGAAAATCCAGGGGAAGATTATACATCAGTGGTTCAAGCCTGCACGACGGAAGCTGAACCAGCCCGGGGCTCGCAAATCTTCAAGTTTTGTATAGATCGCTTGAAAAGGTACTGAGTAACCCTTGCTTAGTGGCTCCCTGTCCGTTCAGTGGGTTCCCCAGTGGAAACAATGCACGCCAAAGAGGTGTTTTTTGTTCCTCGACGCCCCTTCCTTCAAGTAGCAAAGGGACAAGCATTCAACCTCCAGGTCCCCGCTACCCCAGTCACAACCGTGGGAAACTAGGCTTCGACCAGTTCTTCGTGATATCAGGGATACCGGGAAGCTACCTTTTGGGGTGACAAAGTATAGACGAAGGTTTGCTTTCTACATCCATGTCCCTACTTCTACGGTTGCTCACTTTGCATTGGGCTGGTAAGACTGCTGAGTTTCGGCGTTGCTACGGTTGAAAACCCGATTGCCGGAAAGGATGGAACCAGACTTTATGGCCTGCGAAGCTAAGACAGGTGCCGCTCTACTAACGTCCAACCCAAGCCCATGAAAGACGAAGGGAGGCTTGTCCTGAGTTTGCCGCGTGGAGATCTGGTGTACCTTTGGCAGCTGATCGTATTTGAAATTTGTCATTTGCATTGGAAATTCCGTGGAATTTCTTGTTGGTTCGAGTGACAACACAAGTCTAGAGGTGGCATATGGCCAATCCACTCAGGAAGTGAGTAAGGATCAATGATTCACCTGGGACTCGGCGGTTGCCGGCAGCGCGGTGTGCGCCACGCAAAGCACAATTTGTGATTTGTGAATGTTCGCGGCCAGTCTGCTGCCGCATTTTCGGTGGGGCTCCCTTTTCTGACAGCTGATTGATCACAGCGCAGATTTTCTTGTTACAAGCGACGTACGAGTCACAGCGAGAATAGGCCGGGTGTTTCACCGCGTGCTCGCACGGCCTCTGAAGATTGACACTCTTTGGCGATAGCTGTTTTGGTCAGTCCACTGCTTCATATGGTGCGGGGCACACAGGCTCGACATGCCCCATTTTGGTGAGGTGTTGCCATCCGATCCTGAGGTCCCCGTAGAAGAGTTGCACAGCCCTTTCGCAGCTAGGAAACTGAGATGGCAAGTGCATTTGCAATAGAGAGAGAGAGAGGGCTTGCGTGCAGATCTCTTGATGCGTTGTCGACATGCAAACTTTCAGAGTCAGCATCAGGCAGAAGGTGTGAGCCTATATTTAGGGCTCACTGGGCCCCAAAGGCGGCCTTTTCGTTTAGTAGAGGCTTTAAACGCCTTGCATCGCGTGCGACTCGTTCGAAGAACGAGTCCCACAAGGCGGATTTGGGATGATTACAATCTCAGCATTTCTCGGCCGCTTGCCGGCGAGAGAAATCAAAGGAACGTGCTTATGATGCTTGGCGATTCCACTCGGATTGGGAGGCCACATAGATGTATGTGTCAAAGTGTTGGAACCCCAAATTGGTGACTTTCCCTGTGGCTTCCCTTTCGACGAACCCCAAGCAAGGGCTGGGGGGGGGTAGCCTCAAAAACAATCACAAGCACACACAAACGCGCGCGCACACGCAGGTGAACACTGCCCCTTGTGGAGCCCAGTGAGGCGCCAAAATGAGATTCCCTTTGGCTTCCCAAACCAACCCAAAAAACACCCAAACACATCCCAGGTTTTTCG